CCCCAAAACCCCAAAACCCCAAAACCCCTTATTCTCTTTTTTGGAATTCACTTTAAATAATCATGAAATTAACTTCTCAGTCATAATATACTTGATAATAATCAATTTTTTGCTCCAAATCAAATCAATCCAGATATGTAGAAGAAGACATTTAGCTCAATCAACATTAGTTTCTAGGCTCGCAACTGCCACTAGCAATAGTGTCCCAGCTTTTGTCCACAAAGTTAATCCTATGAATCTTATTTTCTCCCATGACATAATAGCTATTCTCGTCTTATTTGCTCTTTAGATAGTATTGATGAAAAAATGCATCGAATACGAAGGGCATCTGCAAATTAGAATTGATGCGCATGCTAGAACTATTGACAGAAAAATCATCATTTTAGTTGTTATCGACATCAATCTAATGCACTGAAGAGTCTCTGATGTTAAATCTGTAAAGTTGCTTTATCTGATTTGTCTTGTAGTAATTACCTATAATCATAAACTATTCCACAATCTTCTTTGAATTCTAGTTCATACTGTGCAAGGAATCATCCTCACTTTGGCTTTCATTGAGAGATTTCTTACTTCCCTCTGCAGAGTACTACTCATCGACATCCTCATTAGCCACATCATCTTCATTCTCAGATTGCTACTCAATCTCATATTTATCCTCTTCATCTTCATCAGCATAATCACCACCTACCATGTTTATATTGTCTATTTCATTGTAGTTTTCATTGTCATTTTCTGTGTAGTTTTCAAACTAATCTCCTTAATTTGAATCTAATTCTAATTGCGCATTAATATTTTCTAAACCACAAAATTTGATAATTCCCTCCGAGTCAATTGGGAGCAGTATTTCTTTGAACCAGGGTTGATAACTATTCAAGTTTAATAAGACTAAAGTGCATCTCAAAGTCTCATTTTCTTTATCAGTATCAATTATCTCTAGGCAATCAGTATTAGTAGTTCCACCAATTATGTAAATGTAACGATTAGCAAAGGAAAGAGCAGAAGCAAAAGCTCTTTCGTTGTTGAGTTGAATCTTCAGCTCAGACCATTCATCTCTTTCTATGTCATATTTCTCAATTGACTTCATCACGACATTGATGCCTTTTCCTCCTATTGCATAGAGATACTAGTGCTTAACCCTATTCTGATAATAGCAGTTTCTGGCTACAATATAATCAGTCTCATTTCTTGGGGAATTTCCAAAATCTAAACCATCAGAAGTATCTCTCTGATAACTATAGTCAAATAACTTATCATATTTTGTCAGGCACACCAAACTAAAGTACATTCTGATATTCTTCATATCAGCTCTCTTGATGATCATTGACTGCTTATACTCATAGCATGGAGATTTTCCTCTTATTGAAGATATCCTTTAAGCCCCACAGAGAAAGTATCGACCACCAAACTCAGAAGTTGTTATTATTTTCAAACTTTAATTGGCAAAGACATCTATTGTATCAAACTTGCTCTTGTCCTATAGATAATTACAGCTATCAGCAAGTACTACTTTCCGCCATTCAGGTTACGCTTGTGTTTATTTATTAACCATAAAAACCCTAATTTCTTTGCTTCTTTAATCTATTTACAGAAATTAGGGATCCATTGGTAAGTCTATGCGGCTATAAAATAGAGGTATTATGACCTTGTAAAATCGCTTAGAGAGTATTTGGTAATGAATAACTTAGGACTTCGACAAGTACTCCAGTATAACATGTATGCATTGAGACTTTGTGATATCAGGCAAAATGACCAGGATACTATGAATAGATTGGGTCATCATGTGTGCAATTGATATCAGATCACCTTGGATTTAATATAGTGACTCCATTGCAAAATATTTTTAGTTTTACTATGTTTAAGTTACAAAATAGAAATTAATTATTCATCAGTTTGGCTAGCTTATTTTATATGAGGGGGTTTTGGGGTTTTGGGGTTTTGGGG